TACTAAGCTAAATTAAGTTCACTATGCTCTGTATAGGAGCCCTGGTGGCACAGTGGTTAAGAGCTTGGTTACTAACCAACAGGTCAGCCGTTCAAATCCACCAGCCACTCCTTGGAAACCCTATGGGGCAGTTGTACTCTGTCCTATAGGGTGACTATGACTTGGAATTGACTCCAAGGCAATGGCTCTGGGTTTTTGTTTTTTTTGTTTTTGGTTTTATGTACTATATAATAAGATGTTGGAACAATAAATAAAACTTAGAAAAATATCCATAAGAAAGATTAATAAATCAATTATTTTGCTACCAGCAAGAAAATAAAAAGTTGTGCACAGACTGGGGATAAAATTCACCATATATAACTATCTTAGACATCTAGTGTCGCTGTAACAGAAATACCACAAGTGGATGGCTTTAACAGAGAACTTTATTCTCTCACAGTCCAGGAGGCTAGGAGTCTGAACTCAGGGTGCCAGCTCCAGGGGAAGGCTTTCTGTCTCCACTGGCTCTGGGGAAAGGTCTTTGTCATCAGTCTTCACCTGTTGAGGAGCTTCTGAGCGCAGGGAGCCAGGGTATAAAGGACATGCTACTCTCCTGGCTCTTGTTTCTTGGTGGGATTAGGTCCTCATGTCTCTGTGCTCACTTCTCTCTTTTACATCTCAAGAAAGATTGACTTAAGACATAACGTAATCTTGTAGACTGAGTCCTGCATCATTAACATAACTGCTGCTAATAGTACCTCATTATCATCATAGAGGTAGGTTTACAACACATAGGAAAATCACATCAGATGACAAAATGGTGGACAACCACATAATACTGGGAATCATGGCCTAGCCAAGTTGACACATATTTTGGGAGAACACAATTCAATCCATGACAATAACCAACAAAATATTTGTGTCCAGAATATATAAAGAACTCTAACAAATTAATAAGAAAAAAGCAATTAACACTTAAAAAATAGGCAAAAGGCTTGAAAGGTACTTCACAGAGGAGGATATCCAAATGGCCAATAAGTAAATGAGTATATGAAAAGGTGCTCAACATTATACATCATTAGGGATATCTGAATCAAAAGTCCAAAAGATACCACCACATGCCTACAAGAATGATAATACTAAATATTGGTGAGGACATGAAGCAACTAGAACATTCATACATTGCTGGTGGGATTGTGACTGGTACAACCACTTCAGAAAACTCTGTGGCAGTTAACTACTTAAGTAAACATGTGCCAACCATATTACCTAGCAATTCCACTTCTAGATAAATACCAAACAGAAATGAATGCACCTGTTTTACCAATACACAAGAACAATCATAGCAGCTATATTCTTAATAGCTAAAAACTATAAACAACTATTCAAATCCTCATTTGTCATAACATAGTTCATAAAGATAATGTTCTACATTCTAGTTTGGTGAGTAGTGTCTGGGGTCTTAAAAGCTTATGAGCGGCCATCTAAGATACAACTATTGGTCTCTACTCATCAGGAACAAAAGAGAATGAAAGAAACCAAAGGCTCAAAGAAGAAACTAGTCCACAGAACTACTGTATTTTTACGCAAATAACGTGCATCTTCTACATCTGTTTGCCCACTGTGCCCTCCTCCCATAAGGTATTTTCATAAGTGCCACTAGGCCAATTTTTTTTACATGTTGGTGGAAAAAATATTAGCATAGAGCACTTACATAGCCAGCTCGTTATTTGCATAAAACTACGGCAACAGCCTGCACGAACCACAGCATTCATTTTTTTTTAATTGTACTTTAGATGAAAGTTTACAGAATAAATAGTTTCTCATTAAACAGTACACATATTGGTTTATGACAGTGGTTAACAAACCCATGACATGTCAACATTGTCCCTTCTCAACCTTGGGTTCCCTATTACCAGCTTTCCTGTTCCCTCCTGCCTTCTAGTCCTTGTCCCTGGACTGTCATGGCCCATTAGTCTCGTTTTGTATTATGGGGTTGTCTAATCTTTGGCTGAACGGCGAACCTCGAGAGTGACTTCATTACTGAGTTAAAAGGGTGTCCAGGGGCCATACCCTCAGGGTTTCTTCAGTCTCTGTCAGGCCAGTAAGTCTGGTCTTTTTTGGGAGTTAGAATTTTCTTCTACATTTTTCACCAGCTCTGTCCAGGACCCTCTGTTGTGATCCCTGTCAGAGCAGTCAGTGGTGGTAGCTGGGCACCATCTAGTTGTACTGGACTCAGTCTGGTGGACAGCCTCCTTTTTTGAGTGAAGAAAATTCTCTGTATCTGGATCATGATAGTGTTTACATGACTGTATGCATTTGTCCCAAAATTCATCAAGCTGTATGCTTAAAAAGGGTGAATTTAACTGTATGCAAATTATGGCCATAAGTTCAATAAATCTGACCAATAAAAACACCATAACAAGATGTAGTCTGATGGACTGAATACCATCTTTCTTGACTTGGATATCACACTACTAATGCAGTTTAAATCGGTATTTGATTTAGGGCAATTATTTAATATTTTTGGTTCATATCAAGCTCGTAATCCATTATAACATCCTATATGTGCCCAGTTATTGTCAAAGCTAAAATGTCTTAGGATATATTAATTCTTTAAAAATTCCATCAGATACATTTAAGACCACCACTGGAACCCAGCTGGCTCTTTTGGAATATGAACATTACTATACAGAATATCAGACATCCATACAGCTTTGTGTCATCCACAATTTGGTCATCGTGTCTTCTTTACAGAAATATTGTTCTATTTTGAAAAATCAGTTTGAATTTGTTATTTTATTGTTTTGTACTGGGTTGTGTGGGGCATGGCATGTTTATATAGTAACAGAATCCAAATAACTCATGAAATGTCTTTGTCTTTGAAAACTGATGACAACTCTTTGTCTTTGTAAGTTACATAAATTCTGATGTTATCATTTATTTTTTGAAACATTCTGAATCTTTTAAATGCCACTAGTGTTAAATTATTTTAATTATCTCACATAAATTACTGTGAGGTTTTATTGTGAGTTTGTATTCTTTTGTTCTCTTAACCTTTATAATTTGAAGAACGTTTATATATGTTCAACAATTCTGTGATATTAATTTTCTGCATGCAAATATACCTTAATTTAGCATATATATTTGTTCTGCATCAGTAAAATTTAATATATGCAGATAACTACTCCCCATTTTTAAACTCTGTAGTGTTATTTTTGGTTTGATTTTGTGATCATCCTATCCTTCTAAATTGTTGTATTGAATACACACCCACACAATCTAAATAGAAAGAAATTCCAATTCATTTTTAGGCTTAAGACTAGTATGAAAACATTTTCCATTATAGAACAAAAAAGAGGATCCTCTCCCAAAACAAATAAGAAGATAAATCTTGCCATATTGCTATTGATTGTTGAGAAACCATGCTTTATTCTCACGTAATTACATTAAATACTAAAATATCTTACAAGCCTTTGTTTAAGACATATGCAAGACTATTTTAAATACTATCATATTCTCAAAAATGGCATTTTATGGATTTGATATTACTTAATAGTTTGTTTTTTCTATTTACCCATGAATTTCCATGATTTCATATCTTATATAGTTCTCAAAATAGGTAAACTGTAACACATGGAAAGGAAACGCACACACACACACACACACACACACACACACACTTTTTTAAACCAACCCTCCCTAATTTCTGGATACTTGAGCCCATTATGTTCTGCTTTCTGTCAACCTGCTTATTCAGAAATATCTTAATTTCCCAGGGGTGATATATACAACTAATTTCCTCTTTTTAGGTTTTACAGGCAAGTAAAACAAAATCAGTGTATTCAAACCAGCGCATAATGCAAGAGAGATTAATTTACAGATCTGGTATGAACTCGGGCCTGTACATAAAGGTTTGGCTGATCCTAAATGTACAGATTTACTCCTTTCATCTTTCATAATGTCTTCTTTATTATACTACATATGGAAATGTCAATGGAAACTATTAAACTAGATAATATGAAAGTCATAAAATGTTAGTTTGCATTACATTTCCATCAAGAATTATGGTTACTCTAAAGCACTGTTCATTATCTCTCTCTTTCACCAGTTCAGTTCCTGTGATACTCATGAAAACCCTGTGGGCATCTGAAAGGTCATTTCCAATATGCAGGAATGATCACTGCAGCTGGGAGGAAACCAATTACCAGTGGTGGTATAATTGCTTGCATACTGTGAAATAACCCTTATCATTTTATCAGTATTGAAAGTCATTAGAAATAATACAGATATAAAAGTTTTAACTCTACTAATAGGAATAATGTTCTGTAAATTCTTTAAGATAAGTAAGAAATGACTAAATCACAAAAACAAATTACTCTAGTGAGACATCATTAAAACTTACATAATATTTTTCAAGTTACTCTGTAGGAAAATACATGCTTTCTTTTTTTCCATTAATAATTTCTCAAATAATGTTTTCTGAATATTGTAAAACTTTTGCAGCCAAGCTCTTAACCACTGCACCACCAGGGCTCCAATCTTAAACTTAGCGCTATATTCTGGGAATTAGACACAGATCTTGATCTCAGGAGCTTACAATGTGGTTGAAAAGATTGGACATGTCTAACATTTACAAAACTCATGAATGAGGGGGTAGAAATCCAAAAGTAACCAAGTTTACCACTAAATGTCAAGACTGGCAGAATTGGGAACTTGAGAGCTAAATTCATTTTTTAAAGAAATTTACATTTTGCATATGCCTTTCCTATAACTGTACAATTCATATCTCCCAGAACTATAACCTTAAAAGAGAAGCAAATGAATAATTGTGGGATTCAGAACATAAGTAATTAGCTGAAGAAATATTGATAGAAATTCAGCAATAGATCAGTCCTTAAAACCCTTATACAGGGTTTTATGCATACATAAAAATGAATTTAAAAAATCAAAAGAAGGTCCAATTATAGAGAAAAGGTCAGTTTTGTACAATTATTTTATAATACAGTGGTTAATCTTACCTCTGCTATGAGCTGCTGAAGAGAAGGTGATGCTATAGGAAGTAGACTTGAGTTACCCCTTATGGGATTATGCAGGCTAACATAAGCCACAGCATTTCTCTGCAGAACCTTCCGGAAATCCTAAAATCCAAAAAAGAATCTATCTTTAACATAGATACAAATAAAATCTTTTACTTTATTCATTACATGTGGAGTAATAAACACTTCCTATTTAAAATCATTACATTGTGTAAGTACCTTTTTTTTGAAGAGCAATTTCAGACTATTTAATGGAGTACACAAAGATCATAAAAGGATTTTAAATAAGAGTGGTGAGAAGTTTGGATATAACATGCCATAAAGTACTTTGAAGCATGTTTCTGACAAAAGTAAAATTTTAAGAAAAGTAAAATTTTAAGTTAACATAGTTTGGAATTAAAGTTCAGAATAAAGAAAGGGTATTTGTTCAGTAAAAGCACTTAATTTTATAGTCACTGAGTTAGAGAACAGATGTGGATATACTTCTTCAATGATTGATAAAACTAGCTCTTGCCTTTGAAGCAGTGAGCTACATTTACATAAAGAGACTCTTTATTCTGAGTACAACGGGGCAAAATACCATTGTGTCCCTGCAAATTTTACCTAATACAAAACTTGTGTATCATGCACTAGCGTTAAATGATTCAGTAGAATAGTTTTTCCACTTCTCTGTTGATCCCTACCCCCATAAATTGAAGACCACTGATCCTTCTAATAAGGTACTACTAAGAAGTTCTGTTCTTATTTTTCTCCCTTTCTTGCACAGCACAAGTATTTACTGAGTAATTATCATGGGACAAGCTCTGTTGGTGCAATTGTTCAGCTCTTGGCTGCTAACTGGAAAGTTGGCATTTCAAACCCACCAGGTGGCTGCATTTAAGAAAGACTTGGTAATCTGCTTCCATAAAGATTACAGCCTAGGAAACCATATAGGGCAGTTCTACTCTGTCATACTGGGTCACTATGAGTCAAAATCTACTTGATGTCACATAATAACAGTAACAATTATCATAGTGGCAATTCTATAGACAAGTCCTAAAAACTGTATCACTTCAGGTTTTGGGAAAGCATCTTTCTTCTCTTCAACGCTATCAGATAAAAGATTACAAGGACTTATGTAAAATAGTTACTACTATTTGATGTTGAAAATTCAGCTATACCTTTGTGGGAGGTGAAAAGACAATTCATTTTAAATTAATGAATATTTTAAATAAACAGAAATGATGAACTTTAAGCTTGAGTAATCTGACGGATAATATTGTCTAAAAAGATGTCCATTGTTACTTAAGCAAAATGAGTTTCTATTTACAGATTACCACATAGGAGTTTTCTAAATGTAACTCCAGTTAATTCTCATGAAAACCTCAAGAGATAGGAATTTGTGTACTCATTTGAGGAAAGAGAGTTGTAGAAAAGTTAATCTTTCCTAAGAATACACAGTTTATGGCAGAGAGAGGATTTGACTTCTTTGATTGCAAAATCTGTAGTACTTCAACTACAGCCTGTGAAAAATGAAGATTCTTCACTGAAGGAATGATAACTTCTTCAAAGTAAACAACGTATTTAATAAAATGTTATGATTTTCCTCAAGGATCAAGGTTGGTATGAGGTCAATTCTCTATAACTCTATCACTACAAATCCTATTTTTAAGTTTATTGACCAACGTTACCTAATCCTCTTAATTATAATTCTAGGCTTCAAGGTGTTTCTGTGCAAGCTAAATTAAATAGGGCAACAAGCGCTTACCTCACTCACCGTCACTAGGGAATATATTTAGTGAGTACACTGATTACAGTGGAAAACAAACAAAAAAAATGTCTCATTCCCAGGAGTAGATTCAATAAGAGTAGACAGAAAAGGAAAACTGACAATTTTTTAAATGCTTCCTCAACCGAATAGTTTACAAAATGGCTTCATAAATTACATTTAAATAATTGTCAGAGACACAGTAAATTACAAAAATACATTCTATTAGCCAGTAACTAAATCTGTATATTATTCACCGTTTTGATTAACTCATATGCCTTTGCCTATCTAGTAATGAGAAAAGCCAGAAAGTGACTGAAGAGATAATCAGTTGCCAAATATATGTGCATGTATATTCTAAGACAGTGGTCCCCAATCTTTTTTAGTACGAAGAGTCTTTTTTAACATAAACATTTTCCTCCCAGTGGATTCCTACATTATAGTAGTTGTATTTTTAGTATCTGTTACTTGAGAAAACATAAAATTACCAAAAGGTACTATAGATTCAGTAGAACTTAAAACATAAATTCATATTTTATTAACAACAAAAATATCTACTTAATTTAAAAAAAAATTTCTGACATAAATGCAATGTCATATTATTGATTCAATTTACAGGGTAGGATGCTAGATGCTCAAACAGATTTAAAGGCTTTTTGCAAGAAATTTCCTCATACGTAGGCATTCAGAATATTTATGCTCTGAACTACTAATAATATTAGACATACTTCAGAAATATACATGTTAATTTAGGATTAACATGAGTTGATTGTGAAAGTTACTAGATAGTTATCTAGAATAAATTATTTGGAATTTGAAAAGAACAATTACATCATTGGTTTCGTTATGATAAAAATTTTTTTTTCGGAATTAAGAAAAACAACCCAGAACACAAATGTACTCCCAAAATTGCTGTTTAACTTGTTTGTGTCTTTAAAATAAGTAATTTGGAATAAAAGTCTGAGAGTTTAGTCCAGCTATTACATCTTTCATCCTACTTAACAAATTTGTCAGTTTAAGAAGGTTCTCTGAGCAGTGGAATACCTTCATTTGAATTAGTTCTTTTGAATATAGAATTAAACATTCACACCACTAATTTGCACACGGAAAAGCACTCCAATTTGCAATGTGTGCATCATGATAAATTTTACACAGTGTAAATTTTTCTCATCTTTAAGACTTTTTTTGTACTTCAAGTTAAAAAGACATACACTATTTTCTCTTGTATATACTTTTGATATTTCAGTTGACATTCAATATATATTTTATCCTTTTTGAATACTTAAAAAAATGAAACAAGAGAATGTCATATTAGAATGTCGTACTATTTTTTTAAAGAAAGTTGAGGTAGTGAACCAACTGGAATATCAAACGGTTTTATTCTCCTAGCAAAAACTGTGTAGCTGTTTTTGTCTGCATATTTCCATTCAACCTCTTTAAAAAAAAAAAAAGGCATAAAAGTAAACAGCATATCTAAGAGTTTTACGTGTTAATATGGCCCCAATCCAATTACCAGTTGTGATATTCCATTAAAAATGCAGTGCACCTATGAGACACAAACATATCAGAAGTTTTTGAGATTTAAATGCTGCAGATATGTTCTAACTGTACCCCCATTGCTGGCTAGATTCCGTTTGGACAAAGGTAGGCAGGTAGGTAGGAAGAAAGGAAAGAAGGGGGCAGGAAGATAAGAAAGGGAGGGAGGGAGAGCATGAGGGAGAAAAAAGTAAGGTGATCACTATTTTCAGCCCATTCTCCAAATTTTATAGATTAAAATGCTAAGGCTAAGGCAATAAACATTTAATATAGGAGGTGAAGCCTGAATTCCAGATAAAAAATAAAAGAAAGGTAAAGACATGTATCTCCTCATCTTTTCTTGTCTAGCGCCAGCCTTGTCACAGGGACCCTATAGGACAGAGTTTCTAAGGAGCAGCTGGTGGATTTCAACTGCTGACCTTTCAGTTAGCAGCCAAGCTCCTAACTACTATGCTAAGTTGAACTACAATTACCAGGTAAACACTGCTGTGGGTATATCCGAGGTTATAAACCTGGTAGCAACACAGATAAGACAGTTATAGATCCTACAGGATCCACTCTTTTCTAACTATAATTTCCCCCCATTTATTACAAGTAATTACAGCAAATTAGCAGATATGACATCTTGGTTGAGAAGCACATTCTTGCCCTTGACTTTGACAGCTCCACATTGCCTTTTCAGCAGGAAAAAAGAAAGCACAGTAATTAATGCACATTTTAACTTACTTCTCCCCATTCATATGAGCCAATATTGCCAAAAGCTGTTCCTCCCCAGGAACAGAAAACAATAGTGCGGTCTGGTCTCCACCCTTTCTTAACTCTTAACATCAAGGCTTGGATAAAAGCTGTGATTATGGCAGTGCTACTGGCCCATTCTTGTCCATTATAACTGTATGCAGTATGGTGGTGGCTGCCAACTATGATATAGCGGTCTGGAAATAGAAGAAAATAATAGCCATTAAAAGAGAATGTAAACCTTAACAATAAATTTAATGACATTTACATAATCCTATTGTACAACTGAGCAACAATTAAGTAAAATTGTTCTAATAATTAAGACTAACATTTTTTGTTCAGTGTCTTGATTCACACATCTGTGTATATCAAAACAGAGGCAGCTGCTGAACCCAATTATGAATCCAGAGCTGAGATCCACACTACCGTCCTTTGCAACATGCATATTAATTAATGAAGTATACAAATATGCCACAATGAAACCCTTAGCTAACATTTTTCTAGAATCATAGTGGGAAGTGCTCTGTAAACAATGTGTGTATGCTTAGTAAATATTAATGAACTATTAATACATCTGAGGAAGCAGTTATTCAGTAGCTGTAAATATTAAAAATGTGGTAGTCCAGTATGGATTTTGCAATAAATGAAGCATTTAGGGAATTAATTATAGCTTCCAAGTTATAGTTTTAGTCCCCACCTCTTTCTCTGAAGAAAAAAAAAAATTCAACAGCATCAGAAGTCATCCAACTGCTGTAAAAATTGTCTTTTGAGATATTTTATTTCATATAATCATCCAAAGCCCATTAGACTCTCTATAAGAAGGGTCTCTATGACACATGATTGTGGCCTGTTTAACTTACATTACTGGCTATTGTCAATAATAACATAAGCTAAAGACGTACGGAAACCCTGGTGTGTAGTGGTTAAGAGCTAGGGCTGTTAACCAAGAGGTTGGCAGTTCGAATCCACTAAGTGTTCCTTGGAAACTCTATGGGGCAGTTCTGCTTTGTCCTACAGGGTAGCTATGAGTTGGAATCAACTTGACGGCAACGGGGTTAATGACATACTGTCAGAACTTCTGATTTTGTCATCGGTGAATATATCAGTAATAAGAACACAGCTCAATTTCTTTGGCCAAGTAGCCCTATGGGTCCTCATGTAAAAAGATTTCTTCATTGAGTGTCATTCATTTTGAGATGTCTCACAGCACAATGGTTAAGTGTGCAGACTCTAGAGCCAGCCTGCTTAGGTGCAAATCCAGGCTTTGCCACTAACAAATTATGTGACCTTGGAAAACTTATTTAACCTCTCTATGCCTTAGTTAGGAGCCTTGATGGCAATGTGGTTAAAGTACTCGGTTGCTAACTGAAAGGTCGGTGGTTTGAGCCCACCAGCCGCTCTGTGGGAGAAAGATGAGGCAGTCTACTTCCACAAAGATTACAGCCTGGAAACCCCTATGGGGCAGTTCTACTCTGTCATCCAGGGCCCTTATGGGTAGGAATCAAATGGGCGGTAACGGGTTTGGTTTGGTATGCCTTAATTTAAGAAGCCTGGTGATTCAGTGGTTAACGCACTCGGTTTTCTTGACTATTAAAAGGAATAAAAAGAGTACATATTTCATTCAGTTGTTCTGAGTTTTAACTGAGAAACTATTTGTAAGGTACTTTGAATAACGCCTGCTACACAGTATCTGCAATGTATGTGTGGAATAAATAATTAAATTATTCTGAATCATGAACCACCCTTGAATCCATAGTATCAAAAAGCTACTTTATGGAAAATGGCATTATGTGAAGCAATTTTAATTTTCCACACTGATACTGGAACCAGTAAGGGATTTGATCTGCCAACATTTTATCAAGATTAAATTAACATATACATCGTGGGTCTGCAAATGTTGAAAGCCTGGGAATTTATTAACTCATCTCCCAGAAATGTGTGAAAGTCCTACATGGGATTGTTCTATTCTAGATAAATCATATTTCATACATATAATAATAATAGTAAAATTTATTTCTTTTTTTAATTCTGCTTTTTTAGATTGAATTTCAGTAGGAAACCTCATTTATCCAAAAGCTAGTATAATTTTGTACAATTGGGTTTTCCAATAATAGCTTGCAAATGCAGCAATGATGATAAATATTTCCAGTATTCAATTAGAGAGAGATCTTACGGAAATTTGTGGAAATGGCTGAAATTCAATAGTAATCAATTTCTAAATTTTTAATATGTTATATTTAAAGACATCATGATCAGAGAGTATTCAACATTGCTGCGGTAAAGAAATCAGAGAGAATAAGTACCTTCCGTGAATTTTTTCAGAGTTGACTGGTAAAACACAGGTGAGATGTAAAACTTGATCTGAAAATTCTCTTGGTTAGCAATTATGGGGTCAACTTTGTCTAAGGTCATGGAGGAAAATTACTTGCAAAGAAAAACTTGAGTAAATATCCCAAACAAATCAACTAGAGAAGCACACAGACTGGGACACCCTCCACGGCACAACAAGCACATCAGACATTAACGTGTGATTCAATCGAACAACGTTTTTAAAAGTCTTAGTGGTAGCCTCTTAATTCTTACTTGTGCCAGTTATCTTTTACTTTTTTAGCCTGCATAGTATCATCTGAAGATTCCATTAGCAGCCCATAACAAGGTGTAAAATTATTTTAAAACTCACCAAGAAGTCATTTTCATAAGCACCTTCAAAACCTAAGACCCATGCAAACAATGTATACAATTGTTAAGTGGACCAAGAGCTGGGGAAGGGACATAGATTAACATTAAAGAATCAAATTTTGAGATCAAAAATCTTATTTTAAAAAATCATTAAAACTAAATAGTTTTCTTTTTTAAAATGTCTTTGTTTCATAAAAATATTAAAATTTCAATGGCACTATGGTAAATAAAAGAAAAAGAAAATGATGGCTTTTGCAGTTTTTGTTCACCAGACACATGGCAGGTTAACAGATGTCAGCTGTTTATTTTTTTGTTTTTATTTTTAATTTCCCTACACTTCCAACTAAGGAGCCCTGATGGCACAATGATTAAGCTCTCGGCTGCTAACAAAAGGTTAACAGTTCAAACCTAACCAGCACCGCCACAGGAGAAAAGACCTGAGGATCTGCTGCCGTAAAGTTTTCAGCCTAGAACACCCTATGGACCAATTCTATTCTGTCATGTAGTGTCACTACGAGTAGGAATAGATTCGATGGCACACAACAACACCAATACACTTTACTAAGATGTATTTCTTAAGAGAGATAGTAGGAAAGAAAATACAGTAGGTCTCTACTTCTTGTTTCATACTGACCCACTCTTGGAGTGGTATGAACTTCTAGTTACATGAAGTTATTATACAGAATTTCTCTGAGAAGTTTTGTATAAGGGGAAGGTTATAAATACTTAACCATACTTACCTGGAGATGTTGAGCCCTTTAAATATCCAACAACATTTGTAATTGTTTTGAATTTTGTGACTGTCTGAATGTGCATGCTGACAATTCTTATTTCTGTAAAAAAAAAAAGGTTTTAATACACGCTTATTTATCTATAATGGTTTTTTTCTTAAAACATTAAAACTTATTTATCTGTTGTCAACAGAAAAGCATGTTGACAACATTAATAACCATCACACCAAGTTATACTTTCCTGGCAAATATTTATGAAATACTTTGTGCATTGTCTATTTTAGGTGCTTATTATATAATAACCACTACTCACTGTCAGTTTGTCATACTGTGCTGGCTTGTGTGTTGTTGTGATGCTAGAAGCTATGCCACAGGTATTTCAAATACCAGCAGGACCATCCATGGTGGACAAGCTTCAGTGGAGCTTCCAGACTAAGACAGACTAGGAAGAAAGGCCTGGCTATTTAATTCTAAAATAATGGCCAGTGAAAACGTTATGAATACCAGTGGACTGTTGTTGGATATAGTACTGAAAGATAGCCCCTCAGGTTGGAATGCACTCAAAATATGACCAGGGAAAGCTGACTCCTCAAAGTAGAGTTGACCTTAGTGACATGGATGGATTCAAGCTTTTGGGACCTTCATTTACTAATGTGGCACAACTCAAAATGAAAAGAAACAGCTGCAAACATCCATAAATAATTGGAAGTTGGGATATATGAAGTATGAATCTAGGAACACAGGAAATCATCCAAAACGAACTGGACCGCATAAAGATCAATACCCTAAGCATTAGTGGGCTGAAATGGACTGGTGTTGGCTATTTGGACTCAGACAATCATATGGTCTACTATGCCGAGAATAACAAACTGAAGAGGAATGGTGTCGCATTCATCATCAAAAAAGAACATAACAAGATCTACCCTGAAGTACAACACTGTCAGTGATAGGATAATACCCATCTGCCTACAAGGAAGAGCAGTTAATACTATTATTCAAATTTATGCACCAACCACTAATGCCAAAGATGAAGATATTGAAGATTTTTTACCAACTTCTGCAGTCTGAAATTGCTCAAACATGCCATCACGATGCATTGATAATTACTGGTGATTGGAATGCAAAAGTTGGAAACGAAGAAAAAGGAGCGGTAGCTGGAAAATATGGCCTTGGTGATAGGAATGATGCCAGAGATCGCATGATAGAATTTTGCAGGACCAACTACATATTCATTACAAATACCTTTTTTCAAGGACATCAAAGGTGACTATACACAGTGGATCTTGCCAGAGGGAATACAGAGTAATCAAACTGACTACATTTGTGGAAAGAGACTATGGAGAAGCTCAATATCATCAGTCAGAACAAGGCCAGGGGCCAATTGTGGAGCAGACCACCAATTGCTCATATGCAATTTCAAGTTAAACCTGAAGAAAATTATAACAAGTCCATGAGAGCCACTTGAATATCCCACTTGAATTTAGAGACCATCTTAAGAATAGACTTGATAGACACGTCCAAACTCCCTTAGGGACTGAATTGCTGGGGGAGGGCTGTAGGGATCATGGTCTCGGCTAAAATCTAGCTCATTTGGCATAACACAGTTTATAGAGAAGATGTTCTACATTCTACTTGGTGAGTAGCATTTGGGGTCTTAAAAGCCTGTGAGAAGCCATCTAAGATACTTCACTGCTCTCACCCCTTCAGGAGCAAGGGAGAATGAAGAAAATAAGATACAAGGGAAAGAATAGTCAAAAGGACTAATGAACCACAACTACCACAGCCTCCACCAGACTGAGTCCAGTACAACTAGATGCTGCCTGGCTACCACCACTGACTGCTCTGACCGGAATCACAACAGAGGGTCTCGGACAGAGCTGGAGAAAAATGCAGAACAAAACTCTAACTCACAAAAAAAAGACCAGACTTACTGGCCTGACAGAGACTGGAGAAACCCTGAGAGTATGGCCCCTGGACACCCTTTTAGCTAAGTAATGAAGTCACTCCTGAGGTTCACCATTCAGCCAAAGATTAGACAGCCCCATAAAACAAAACGGGACTAATGGGGCACAGCAGTCCAGGCACAAAGACTAGAAGGCAGGAGGGGACAGGAAAGCTGGTATTAGGGAACCCAAGGTTGAGAAGGGACAGTGTTGACATATTGTGGTGTTGTTTACCACTGTCATAAAACAATATGTGTACTAATTGTTTAATGAGAAACTATTCTGTAAACCTTCATCTAAAATACAATAATAAAAAAAAAGAATAGACTTAGTGCAGTGAACAGTAATGACCAGAGACCAGATAAGATGTGGGATGACATCAAGGACATCATACATGAAGAAAGCAAAAGGTTATTAAAAACACAGGAAAGAAAAAAAAGACTATAATGGATGTCACAAGGGACTCTGAAACTTGCTCTTGAACATTGAGTAGCTAAAGCAAACGAAGAAATGATGAAGCAAAAGAGCTGAATAGAAGATGTCAAAGGGCAGCTCGAGAAGACAAAGTATTATAAAATGTGCAAAGACCTGGAATTAGAAAACAAAAAGAGAAGAACATGCTCGGCATTTCACAAGCTGAAAAAAATCAAAGAAAAAAATTCGAGTCTTGAGTTGCAATATCAAACACTGATGAAAGCAGCAGTTAAGAAATCAAATAACGTAGACCATGGGACAAATCTGCTGCAAAAGACTTCTTTAAAGTGTTAAAAAGCAAAGACAACACTTTGATGACTAAGGTGTGCCTGACCGAATAGCCTCATATGCATGTGAAAGCTGGACAATGAATAAGGAAGACTGAAGAAAAATCGATGCCTTTGAATTACAGTACTGGTGAAGAATATTGAATATTTCATAGATTGTCAGATGAACAAACAAATCTGTCTCGGAAGAAGTACAGTGAGAATGCTCCTTAGAAGCAAGGATGGTGAGACTTTATCTCGTATACTTTGGACATGTTATCAGTGGGGAGCATTCCCTGGAGAAGGACATCATGCTTGGTAAAGTAGAGGGTCAGCGAAAAAGAGGAAGACCCTCAACGAGATGGATTGACACGGTGGCTGCAACAAAGCGCTCAAACATAGCAACAGTTGTGGGGATGGCTCAGCACCAGGCAGTGTTTTGTTCTGTTTTACACAGGGTTGCTATGAGTCGGAACTGACTCAATGGCACCTAACACAAACTACGTTATTTAACGATGACTAAGATGCAGTTGCTAGCCTCATGGAACTACACAGGCATAAACAAGCAACTCTAAACCTCACATTCAGAGCTAAAATAGGGGTTCAACATGGGAGCACATGGAAGAGGACCCCATGTAGACGTAGGCAACTCACATCAAAATCGGAGAAAAAAAAAATTATCAGACAAAAATATTTCCAAAGAATATTGAGTACTTTTCTATCTTCTGAAAAAGAACATGTAGGATATAATTTAACCTTTCCTGTATTACTCATTACACTAGCACTGTGAAAACTCTGAAACATTACAGAAATTAAAAGGATAAAGGCTCTTAAAGCTATACCTATTTTCATATATTGGATCTTTCATTTCCCCTTTTTTTGTGGTTCCCTTCATCTCTCTTGCAAATCTCCACTAATTGCTCTGCCTCTTTGAGTTCTTACATTCACATTTGATATTCAAACATTTTAACAACAACACGAGGCCATGACATCAATCAGGAAGGACTCCAGTCACATCCCGGGAGGAGTCTCTGAAGGCCCTTTGGAGGTGATAAGTGTTAATCCTATAGTTGCTCAATCCTGGGAAGTCTGGGGGTCCTAGAGGAAGTTCTGGGGCAGCTAGGATGTTAGTGCCCCGGGGTGGCAAGTAGAAAACACCTAATGCAAAGTAGCCACACTATAGTGGCAGGCTCTTAGGTGTCACTTCCTACCGCTGGATTAAAATTACGATAAGTATATTGCTGCTTTCCTTGAATGCAGTCCTTCTAACAATTTAAATGGATAATCACCACATTGAATCTATTAGAATTCTAACTAAAACAAGAGTAAAGAGGCCTGGAGGAAACACCTGAGCTCCTGACCTGTTAATAAAGGGACTCTGCTTAGAGCCTGAGCATTGTATTTTTAATTTAGGTGCTAAGAGATTTTGTCTCTTTGTTTTTAACATTTGTTTAATTTCCAGTTCTAGGTTTCTTCCAAATAGTCTAAATAAGTGAACTTTAGAAAGAGTCATTATCTTGCAGCTTTTACTGATCTCTCCAGATCCTTTTCAAGTTAGATATGTATGAAGAAATTTCCCTAGTTTTCTAAGATTCGATTTTAATTTTTTTTTCCAATTCAGCAGTGAGAAAACCTCACTTACGGAAATACACTGTTTGGAATATTGCCTTACATTAATATATTGCCTTACAATTCACAATAGCCATTCTCACATACACTGTTTCTCACTTGATCATTGAAATCACCAAGTAAAATAAAAACCTAAACCCAAGCCCGTTGCTGTCGAGTTGATTCGGACTCATAGTGACCCTACAGGATAGAGCAGAACTGCCCCATAGGGTTTCCAAGGCTGTAGTCTTTACAGAAGAAGACAGCCGTATATTTCGCTTGCAAATCAGAGAGTGGGTTCAAACCACTGACCTTCTGGTTAGCAGCCGAGTGCCGAACCACTGCACCACCAGGGCTCCTTTTCTAGTGAAACAGGTTCTACTATTTATATTGATACATGATTGAATGAGGTATGTATTCTTAGTAGGGACAGAGCAGGGACTCAAACCCAGGTCTTTATATAGATAACATTTTTATGTAATCAGTAAAGGGACTCTCACTCTAAGACTTAATTTTTATTTTTTTGTTATGATATATTTCTCGTATATATCACAGAATCAGTAATAATATACCATGATGTTCTACATCCAGATTTAACATATTATTTGGCTATATTTCCTTCCTTGATACCCTTTTTCAATAAACAAAAAGATTATGTTGTTACTCTGCAGTTAATGTATATTATACCCATGCAAGTTTACGTAGATAAATGATAGGCAGATTTAGATATAAATAGATGTAGACATAAGCATAGACATAGACATAAACATATTCTATTATTTTACAGGCTTTGAAAATTTATATAAATAGT